TGTATATATATATATATATATATATATATATATATATATATATATATATATATATATATACATATATGTTACATAAATAGAACGGTAAGTATATATACGTATATACGATTGTCCAAGAACACTCAAACACACTCTTAAACTCGAATATATGATAAAATATTAAAGACACAATTTATATGATGCAAGATAAATTGATCTTCATATCATCTACAAAATGTAAAAGGTGGACGAGTTTCCACCTATATAATGTTTTTTTTTAAAAAAAAACCATTTATCTTGAGAACTCTGAAAATAGTAATCTTGAGCGAAAATTCTTTCTGCATTATATTTTAAAATCGTAAAAATTATACACCCTCAACATTTTCGCGTGTTTCTAAATCCAAAGAGTTGTTCGAGTGTTCCGTTGGACCGTTCGGTATGTAAAGGAAGGTGAAGAGAAACCGCGTGTGTAAAAACGAGATACCGCTGATATGTGTGCGTGGATATGCATTAGTGTGTGAGCGGGTGGGTGGAACGCAATGCCGGTATTCGCGCGTGCGATCGTCGCGGTTTTCACCAGTGGATAAAAAATCGCAAAAGAACCGCAATATGCAGTTTGGGATTGCTATCCGATTGCGTCCGGCAAATCGAAAGCGATTTTGTACGCGATCGTATCGGAAGCGGCGAGATAACAGAAGGGCGAGACGATGAAGACAGTAAAGCGATAAAACGGAGAGGCTCCTTGTAAGACACGTGAGGTGGACCATAAATAGAATCGCAAATGTGATAGACGGAATAAGAAGTGAGTCAGAACAAATCATCGTGTAGAGGAGAATCCAAATTTATTTAGTCAACGATTATGTAACAAATCATAAATAATGAATGAAGACTTGGAGCTGAATTACGAAAAAGATAATACAAGAAATAATTAATAGTAAATTGACACACACAAGGAAGACAAATGTTTTCATATGATGATTATTCTGTCATCTTGAAGATTATCAAGCTGATATTTAGATAAATTGTAAGATAATCAAGAGGAAATGATTATGCTCTCACTGAAATCAATATAACGGGAGGCAAGAGTGTAATGAATATTAAAGTATCATCGACGGAGAGTCAGAAAGCGATTATGGAGATTCTTAATGGAAATATAAGAGCGCGAAAGAAGGAAAGCGAAGGAATAAGTCGGTGGCCACCGCACTTTGTTCGACGTCGCGGGGAAAGAAGCGCGTATACGACACATCGATCAGAATTTTGCTTGCTCGGACAACTTCGTGAAAGGATCATATAGAATCCGTTTAACGTTATACGTCGATCTACAAGCCGACCTACAGCTGCCTGTGTGTGTGCGAGAGAAAGGTGGAATATAGTCAATTGCGAGACATCAGCAGCGATGCGCAACCGAAGCCAAGGTCATCGATTTATAATCGCGCTGATAAAGTTTCATTAGCGACGAAGAATGAAGATCATCACTGTTTGATGACTGCGTCAAAGGCTGATATATACACTCGTTACTTATTACACGGAATTCGTAAAAAGACGTCGGTCAAATATTTTTCAGGTGACGCTGAACAAATCGGCAGACAGCGCTTGATGACTAAAACGGATCTATCGTCGAGATTTTTTGAAGCAATTTGCCGACGAAGAAGACAAATAAAAATGAAATTGATCAGGAAGCCAGAAACTCTCCAGTTTTATTACTTCGTCATCTCTGTCCCGATAAACTTCCGCTTCCTCTGGTCGCGCACGTCACGAGGCTTTTTTCATCCTAAATTCTATCTCTCTTTCTTTTTATCACTTTCTTTTTTGTCTCCCTTTCTCTTTCCTTCGCTCCGTTTATTCCGACGACTCGATTGCCAGTATAGTTGGAGCTTCTTCGACGCGCACCTGTCAGTTCACCGGCTCGCCTTCCCCACGCATATATATGCGTATGCGCACCTATACGAGCACCATCGAAAAGGAATCTACGAAAGCTTCGAAGAAGAGGAGACGCCGGTATGAAACGCGACAGCTGGTCGCACCGGCACAACCGTCGGTCAGCACTAATCCCGTTTAATTAAATTTTCTCGCTGCGTCCACGTTATAGACGACGAGAGCCGCAATCGCGTAACGGAGTGAGAGAGTCGCCAGTGCGATCGCATCCACACTATCGTACGTAGTCGTGACACGCGCCGGTAGTGTCTCGCGTTAGCGTGTCTGCGTGAACGTGTGAAGTGATCAGCGGTTGAAGCAGGGAGCGAAGAGAAAGAGGGACAGAGAGACAGATTAAGGTAGAGATGAGTCTAATGCGTAACGATGCGGATGTGTATGCGTGTATGTGTTAGCGTATCATTGTCTGTATTGCGTATATGTTTATGTGTGTGTATCTGTATGCACGTCGGCACCCAGGTGACACCCCGGACACGTACGAACAGCGTTCACGACGAGACGGAGGGCAGAGCGAGAACGGAATCGTGAGAGGCACTGCTGGTCCCACCGTCGCCGCACCGACGTTACGTAGAGCGCCGCGTCGCCGGCAAGACGGTCCGCGGGGACGACGAGAGGGGTTGCGAGCGCAGGCGTCGAGCCGGAGCGTAGACCGGGTCGATAGTCCGCAACGTCCTCCCTTGCCGGCCGGCTGGCTCTACTCATTCGCTCTCTCCGTCTCACTTTCCGTCCCGCCGCCGCATCGCTAAACTCCTCGCAGTGGCGAATTGTCCTCCGGGGTTCGCGGGAACCCCGGAGCGCAGAAATTTCGTTTTTGCATTTTTCAAAGACTCGTCAGATTTCTAAGAATCATTGGTAAAAAACTATATTACTTTATATCGCGGAAAAAGCTTCTTTTCAAAGTTACAAGATCAAGTTTCACGATTATCCGTTAAGTCAATCCAATTTTTCCTATTCTGTATCTTTTGCAAACTTATTAATTATCGAGAATGTTGTAATAATTGTTTTTTAATTAAAGGATTTAATTTGAAAATTGTCAAGTTTGAGTATCTCAGAATTCAAATACTATAGAATCTCGTATAGATTGATGTAGATTGATGGGATTAATTTTTTTTTATTTCCTAGAACTAAGGAAAGTGACAAAAAATGATTCAAGTTGCAATGAAATCGGTGTTATTATGATCAGTTATCAGAGGAATATCCTTATAGATAGAAAGCTACATTGGCTTGCCAGGGTCCTAAAGTCCCTGAATTCGCCACTGACTCCTTCATTTCTTCCTCTCTTTCTCTCTCTCACACTCTCTCGCACCACCGTTGCGTACTTACTCGCGTCGCGCGTACGCGCCATATTTCTCTCTCTTTCTCCCTCCTTTGCTTCCTGTTGCCTTTTCTCTCTCTCTCTCTCTCTCTCTCTCTCTCTCTCTCTCTCTCTCTCTCTCTCTCTCTCTCTTTCTCTCTCTCTCTCTCTCTCTCTCTCTCTCTCTCTCTCTCACTCACTCACTCACTTACTCACTCACTCACTCACTTTGCAACTATCCGTTTGGTCTAGCATCTATTTTCTAGGGGGGCTTTTCCGACCACCCGCCTCCGTGGCACACGTACATACGTGCGCGCCGTTCGATGTGGAGGTAGTTCCGAATTGCCTCCACATTCGGAAGGTGGTGGTTCTGGTTCCTTGCGATGATTCCCGGGTTCCTCCGTCGCCGCACCGATTCTCATGCCCGATACGCCAATCGCCGCGCCAACTGTTCGCGCTCGCTTTTTTCTTTTCCGGTTTATCCCCCTTGCTTTCGATTCATGTAGTGTATACGTAATGTTTGCTAATTGGCGTCAAACCGGTAAGATTTTTAGATAAACTCGAGAGGGAGAAATTTGCTTGTTCCGGCGAAAATCTTACGGCAAGTTTGATTAGTTATTTGACGTTCAATTAATGGACTTTCGTTGATTTTTCCCGATTTTAATTTTATCTCAAGAGCATTTTAATTGAAAGGTGGGTATACAAATACGTTTAAGGCGCTATTTAATCAAATTTTTACCGTAGAAAATTGGACTTCCAATCGAAGTATCTGTATCTTTTCTCGATTTTGTCGTCCATTATTAAACATCCTGCATTGTTCAATATTTCCGCGGTCCTTTAAAACTCTTCTTCTCAAGAATTCCCCTTGCGTAACGCTCATCGATAATCTTTTCTGTTCTCTCCTTCGCATCCACTTTTCCCTTTTGCGTTCCTCTTTCTCATTTTGGCGTGTCTCGCGTTGCAAACGCCATTGCAGTTTGCCTCTTCCTTCCTTCGTTCATATTACATCAGTCCTCCGTCCTCATAATGCGTCACGACGAGAAAAGGAGAAATAAAATTCTAAACATTGCTGAACTTATTTAATGGACACGGGAATAGGTAAGGACGGTACTGGAGTGGAAACAAATTGAAAAGATATTGTCGATATAACTGTTGAATTGCGTATCATCGTTGCAAATTTGATCAAATCGCAGTATTCTAGAGCAAAGCCGTAGCAAGAACGGAGCGGACGGCTGTCACGGAAACGAGGAGAGCGCAAAACAGAAGCGGGCACATCACCGGATTAGATAATGTTCCAAGTTAAAGATGAATCGGGGATTCAGAAGCATCAGTTGGGGGGGTTTGCTACGACTCTAATGCAGAGATGGTCGAGTATATCATACAAAAGATACTCGTTTTTCGCTTTACTTGTGTATTAATTTACCTTTGTTTTAGATACTGTTTCCTCTTCGATACGTTTTCTTTACTCCAAAAATAAATACACAAATAAAAATCTTTTAGATTTCGTTAATAATTTTCGAAAATATCGTTAAAAATTGTGATAAACGAATAGTGAAAGAAATATTAGATAGTATTACAGAAATTGCTGATATTTAACCAATTAAACTAGTTTTCACAAATAAATTGTAATAAATACTAATTTATTTGGACAAGAAAACAAGATGTAAAAATGATTTCAGTAAAAACACAACGATACTGTTGTAAATTCTAATACAACATATTTTATATGATTTATACTAATCGCAATCAATCATTTTCAGATTAAATATCAACAATTTCATGCGGTGCAATCTAATATATGCGCGATCAAAAATTTTTTCCTTCTAAATCTTTGAATTTTTTAATAAATTAAAGAAATGAACTCGTACAGATTTCAAGAAAGCAAAAACTTAATAATATTTATAGTACTATTCGAAGATTAATATATGTATAAGAATAATAATAGTATTATTTCGAATTTTTTTTTGTGCGATAACAGAAAATCAAAATTGCTCTGTAATCAAGCGTCGTATTATCTTTAATAAGCCCTCTACACTATTCTGCCTTTATTCCGGGATATACTTCTATCGCGGCTTCCTCTTTCCCTTTTCCTTTTTCTTTGTTTCTTCTTACTCGCCGTTCGTCGTGCTCGTCACGTATCCGGCGCCACGATGTCGAGCCAGAGCAGCGTCGCGACGCGCCGGTAAACTCCCAGCGGCCGCCAGATCGGATCGCCACGATAGGCGTATTTTCCGAGTTATCATGACGTCATCATCCCCGTGACATAACTCGAAACACGAGACGAAATTCTTGACAGAGTCGAATTTTCGATATCGCGAACTTTTCTGTCGCGAAACGCGAGGAAAGTGGACGTGAGAGCGACCGTGTAGTGTGTGTTGAAGGTTTATTATGGGCTTTTGTGCTGTTTACAGCTTACTACGAGGATGAATTGAAATAACGCGGTGCGTGACGTTTCCATCGCACGTTGAATATCAAGGATAACATATTATCCCTTCGCTAATCGTTCGCGTGCGCGAATTTCTGAAAATATCTAGAATCAGATAAATTATATAATTTACGAGAAAGCGCAAAAACGCGCTTTCAAAGGCAGCAGAATCCTCCGCACTTTTTGAGTGGTATGTTAGTAGCTCGTTAGAAAGTTTTTTTAAAAACGCAGTGCACGAGGCTGTGCCTGGATATTGCAGGGATCTCGAGTCACTATTCAAGGATTAACCCTTCGTATTTAATGCCGGCTGGATTGACTTTAGCCATTTGGATTCTCCGCTTAAAGTGGCGACTCGGCTGGCTATTGTTACTAAAAAAAACTTATAATAAATATAAGTAAATTTATTTATCGCGATAGAATAAAAACTTAAATAGTTTAACATGTGCGCGCCTTGTTAATAAATAATAATTATCTTCCCTATCATAAAAATGATTTAGTTCATTATTTTCGAACGTTCTGTCGTTCACATATAAATAATTTTTATTTTATTAATTTTTTTATTTTTATTTTATTATATGTATGAATTTACAGATAGCTATTTCATTTTGTCAAATTTTAAAGTTATTGACGCTATAAAAATTTTCGAGAGCTGCCGTTTATTGAGTTTGAACACCAAGCGATGAACGTGGTGCTCTAATAAAAAACGACATTGCACGGAATCGATAGGATACGCCAGCATTGAAATCGGGCACGCTATGCAGTCGGTGCAACCGCGCGCGTTCCTCTTCCGGCAGCAGAGACTGCGGGGATTCCCTTGCTCATACACGTGCTGGCTTGGTCGTCAGGTGGATGAATATTCGCTCGGATTTAGAATACTTGAGACGCGCGGGAGAGCTGTAATATTCCTGGCAGGGCGTAATGGTACACGAGACGTAATTCGTGTTGGCAAATATAAGGATAAGTGGATAAATGAAGGTATATGTTACTAAACTTCTGTCATCCCTACAAACAATTTGTCCACCATCATGCATAGACTGCAAAACGACGATAGTGTTTAAAAGATTGTCTCCGTTAAATGAAACAAAAATGTTTCAATTATATGTCTACGATTTCAAATACTTGATTGAAGATTTGACCATCGCATGATAAAATAATTTTTCAATATAATTAAACATAAAATTTTATTATAGTTAAATATTAAATAAATATATATATTAAACAAAGTATAACTATATATATATATATATATATATATATATAATAATAATAATTTTTGAAATAAATAAGTTGAATGATTAAGTAGAATTAAACGTTAAGTAGAATTAAAATATTCATTGAACAATATATTTACAATGTAATCCTTATCTTCCGGAGACAATCATGTCTCGTTCTGTTAGTATTGACGTGCTGTGGCCACTGACTGACGCGTCGCGATGTCTAACATTCGATCCGGAGTCGTGCAACTCTCGAGCGATATCCGCTTTGGTCACGCTTCGATCCGCATTAAATAACACATATCCGTGACCCAAATAAACGCCGAGAATTTGCCGTTTCCTATTCAGCACGAATATTCAAGGGGATGAAAGAGGCAGTCGGAGCTTCCGCGATGAATTCGGGTAGTCGCGGACGTTGAGGAAGTTGGAAATTATTTTTTTGTTACTCGCGAAAATATCGTTGCTTCACGTCGTTCGCACGATGAGAAATTCATTCCTCATTCCGTCGTACTGTCGCGATGAGTATGTATGTACGTTTTGTCGTCGTACGCCGTTCCCGCGATTGCAAGAAATTTATTTCAATGATATATGAGAGTAACAATGCGACGTGATGATTTTTTTAAAACTAA